TGCGGGAGAACGTGGGGATTCCCCTCGCACTTGCGCTGTTTCACTCAAGGGTCTGATCTATTTGGGTCTGGGGGCTTTACTTCATCCTCTCCTCTCCGGTTTCTCCTTCAGATGTCCTCTACAGACAACGAGCTGATCACAGAGCATCAATTCAAACAGTTTATACAAGAAAGTGTCTCTCCAAGGACAAAGTTCCCGTTTATCAGTGAACTTGGCAGGCAAAGAACAAAACTTTTGCAGGTGGCTGGGCCAAACACAGACCAAAAAATATCAACAATCCCTGATACACCTGCCCTGATTTCTGTGTTGAAGATGCTTCTTCAGCCCTTCTCTGGAGCTGCAGGGGCAGTGCCTGTGTGCAGAGCTGGAGGGAAGAGACTCCCAGCACATCAGCACAGCCAGGGACAAGGGCACTTGTTTTTCCACATCTCAGCTTTGGGAAAGGATGGGGAAGGTTGGGAAAGCTGTTAACAGGGTGTTTTTGCCTGAGGTGTTAAACATGGGAGAGGGTCTCTCTTCACAATTCCCAAGAGGAGAGATGGCAGAAAGCTGCCCTGCAGGTTGTATTTGAAGGAAGAGGAAAAAGAGACCGAGGGTAAGGGGTTTCTTTCCTGGAGGGCAGGACTGTCGTTCACTTGCAGGAGCCCCGTGCTGGAATTGTCAGTCCAACTGCCAAATTGGAATCTGGACAAAGATTCCTGCCAGACAAAAGGTGGCAGGACAGAAAGCTCTTGCTGCCCATGGAGTGCCCAGGGTGACCCACCAACTACACCTGAAACCCAAAGGTTACAGGCTTTCTTTCCTGGGGGAAAGGCCGTGACTTCACAAAGAGTCCCCTGGGAGGCTGGGTGGGGTTGCACTGTGGGGGTGTGGGGCTTGGTTCTTTGGTTTCCAGGGGCTATTCCAGAATGGAGAGGATGGGCTGGGACATCATAAAGGGGCACATGGGTGGGGCTGCATTCTGACCTTGTGGGGTGTTGGTTCTTTGGTTGCCAAGGGCTGTTCCGGAATGGAGAGGGTAGGCTGTGACATCGCAAAAGGTCCTCAAGCACAGGGGTTGGTTTAGTGGGTTCATCCTGGCTGGATTTCAAACACCCACTAAAAGCTTCCACCTTCCCCTCCCTCTGCAACTCCACAGAGGAGAGGAAAAAAACAACTGAGGATTCCTGAGTAGAGATAAGGGTGGGGAGAAAGTCACTTACTAAATGGGCAAAACAGACTCAAAGTAGGGATACTACTTAAATTTATTACTGACAGGATAAAAACCAAAGAATGAGAAATAAAACAGTCTGGAAAACACCTTCCCCCACCCCATCCTGCTACCTTCTCAGCTCTCCCATCCATCCCCCCAGCAGTGCAGGGGGATGGCAATGGGGGTTACAGTCAGTTGTTGTTTCTGTCACTGCTCAGGGAGAGGAGTTGGATCCTTCCCTGCTCCTGTGAGGTCCCTCCCACGGGGGACAGTCCTGGATGGACCTCTGCAGTGAGTCCACCCCTCGGGCAGCAGCTCTTCCCACCCTGTTGTCCCGTGGGTCCCTCCTCCATGGGGTCAGTCCTTCAGGGATGAGCTGACCCGGTGTGGGTCCCCCACAGGGGCCACGAGTCCTGCTGGGAAAAACCTGCTCCAGCCTGGGCCTCCGTCTGCACGGGCTGCAGGTCCCTGCCAGGACCTGCTCCATCCTGGGCCTGCCCCGGGGTCACAGCCTCCTTCCTGCATCCCCCTGCTCCAGTGTGGGAGCTTCCATGGGCTACAGGGGGGGTCTCTGCACCCCAATGATGCTCCCCCAGGGGCTGCGGGGCCTCTGCTCCAGCACCTGGAGCACCTCCTGCCCCTCCTTCTGCACTGCCCTTGAGGTCTGCATTGCTGGTCCCACGTTACCACTCCGCTCTTCCCTGGCTGCAATTCCTTCTGTCCCTAAATCTGTTATCCCAGAGCTGTTCCTGTTGCTCCTGATGGGCTCGGCCTTGGCCAGCGGCAGCAAGTCCGTCCTGGAGCAGCTGGCATTGGCTCCACGGGGCAGGGGAAGCTTCTGGCAGCTTTCAACAGAGACCACCCCTGGAGCCCCCCAGCTACCAAAACCCACCCACAGAAACCCACTGACACCCAGTGACTTCCACTTGCCCCAGGATGGTCCCAGTTCCCAGCAGTGTGATCCCAGTCACTCCCAGTTCATGCCAGTTGCCTCCAGCATGCACCCTGTCACTCCCAGTTACTCCCAGTTGCTTCCAGCATGATCCCAGTTGCTCCAAGAATGTTCCCAGTTGGCTTCCAGCACAGCCCCACTGGCTCCCACTTCCCCCCTGCATAGTTCCAGTCAGCTCCCAGTTTGATCCTGGTCCCTTACAGTCACTCCCACTATGATCCCAGTATGGTGCTGGTCACTCCCACTATGACCCCAGTCACTCCCAATTGGATCCCAGTTGCCCCCAGGGTGGTCCCAGTTGCTCCCAGCCCCCCCAGGATGGTTCCTTTCCCTCTCAGAGACTCCCAGTCTGAGTCCAGGATGGCCCCAGGCACTTTCAGGCACAACCTGGACGATGCCATTTGCCCCTGCATGGTCCCAGTTGCTACCAGTAGGATCCCAGCATGAGTCTCGTCACCCCCAGTATGATCCCAGGAACTTCCAGACACTTCCAGTACAAATTCACTTTGATCCCACTCATCCCCAGTATGGTTGCAGTCCCTCCCACACACTCCCAGTATTATTGTAGTCACTCCCAGTATGACCCCAGTGGGATACCAGTAGGAGCCCAGCTGCTCCCACTATGATCCCAGTTGCCCCAACATGGTTCCAGTTGCTCCCCTTCACCCCTACTATGGTTCCAGTCACTCCCAGAATGATCCAAGTAACTCCCAGCCACTCCCAGTTGCCTCCAGTATGCTCCCAGTCAGTCCCAGTATGATCCCAGTCTTTCCTAGTAGGATCCAAGTTATTCCCTGCATGGTCCCAGTTGCTCCCCAGTGAGCCCACTGTAGTTCCAGTCCCTCCCAGTATGATCCCAGTGACACCCTCTATGGTGGCAGTCACAGCCAGGATGAACCCAGACGTTCCCTGTCACTCCCAGTATAAAGCCATTTGCCCCCAGCAGGGTCCCACTTGCTCCCACTCACCCATTACAGTTCCAGTCCCTCCCAGTAGGATCCCTGTGACATCCAGTCTCTCCCAGTCAACCTCAGCCTGCTCCCAGTCAGTCCCAGTATGCTCCCAGACAGTCCCAGTATGATCCCAGTCACTCCTGGTCTCTCCCAGTATATCCCAGTTGCCCCCAGTGTGGCCCCACTCACTCCCAGTTCCTCCCAGTAGCTTCCAGCATGATCCCAGTTGCTCACAGCCACTCCCAGTCACTCTCAGTGTGGTCCCAGTCACCACCAGCATGATCCCACTTGCTCCCAGTATATCCCAGTTGGGCCAACACAGTCCCAACTGCCCTCAGAATGCTCTCAGTCACTCCCAGTATGACCCCAGACACCTTCACTGTGGGCCCAGTTGCTCCCATTATGATCCCAGTTGTGCCCAGCATAGCCCCAGTTGCGCCCAGCATGGCCCCAGTTGCGCCCAGCATGGCCCCAGTTTCTCCCAGTTCCTCCCAGTGGGATCCTAGGAGCTCCCAGATTCCCCTGGCATAGAACCAGTTGCTCCCAGTATGATCGTAGTCTGATCCCAGTAGGATCGCAGTCACCCCCATTATGATCCCAGGAACTTCCAGACACTTCCAGTACAAAGCCAGTTTGATCCCACTCATCCCCAGCATGGCTGCAGTCCCTCTCACACACTCCCAGTATTACTGCAGTCACTCCCAGTATGATCCCAGTTGCCCCAGTTCTGGTCCCGCTGGGTCCAGTCCAGCTCTGGGTGTATCCCGGTGTCCCCCCTGTCCCCCCACCCCGCTGTCACCCCCTTTTCTCTCCCCACAGAGCTCCTGAGCCGGCAGCGGCCGCAGCCCCTCCCCAGGGCCTCGGGTACAGCCTGGACCCCCCCCGTGTCCGTGAGGATTTTGGGGGGTCGTGTGTCCCCCCTCCCCTGCTGTCACTCTGCCTCCACCCAGCTGCTCCCAGTGATCCCAGCAAAGCTTCCCAGTTCTCCCCAGTCCTGGGTTTTGGGGGAAGTGAAGGGGTTTGGAGGATCCCAAGGGGTGGAGCCAAGTTTGGGGGGGCAGAACCAGCCCTGGGATGGATCGGGAATGGGGATCCCCCTGCGTTCTCCCCGTGTCACCCCGCTCTGGGGAGCCTTTGGAAGGGAACTGGCCCCTCAATAGGCACCCAACTCACCCCAAAACTTGCTGGGACCCCCACAACCTCCCCACAGCCCCTCAAGGATGCCCAAACACAGAGTCCACCCAGGACCCCACCCTACCTTTTTTCTGGGGAGGCTTCTCTGGGCACTGGTGGTGTTGGAAGCCCCCCCGGCTGCAGGCGAGGAGCTCTCGGGTGAGCAGGGGGTGGGAAGGGGGAGATCGGTGGGAAAAGGGGGGTCAGAGGGGATAAAAGGGGTGGTGGGACCCCAAACTGAGTGGGAGGGGAGTGGGACCCCGCAAAAGTGGAGGGGCAGGGGGACTGAGGTTCATGGGAAATGGGTGGGAGAGGTCAGAAGAGTGGGGAAAGGGCAGAGTGGGACCCCTAAACTGAGCATCAGGGGGCTGGGGAGTGGGGGGGATGATGTGGAAGAGGGGGAGAGAGGGGAAAATGTGGGGGTTGGGACCCCTAGAATGATCTAGGAGGGGCTGGGGATTGAGGATCATGAAAAATTGGAGGGAACAGGGAGAAGGGTGGAAAAGTCGGGGTGGTCTGGCAGGTCTGACGGCCCCATGGGGGTCTTTGGGCACAGGGGGTTGGGAAAGCGGGGTGGCCCCTTGAGCTCCTAACTGACTGTGGGGAGCTGGGGCTGCTGGATCCAATCTCAGCCTTGTGTTATGCCAACACTTTCAGTTTAGAGGAATTACAGAGGTGGGACTGAACCACTTTTATCCCCCAGGTTTTAAAAATGATCAGATAAAAAGTCTTCATCAGAATTATTTACTGCACAATAGAAACACTAAAATTACCAGTAGTACAGCATAAGACAGGACAGTGCTCTACACTAAAGCAATTGTTGAAGCAATTCTACTCAAGCTGGCACCAAAGCAAGAATTATTCATTAGAGAGGAATGGAACTCCCCCAGACCAACGCTCAGGGGGAGATCTCTGCTCTCAACCTCCAGCAGTGACCTTGGGGGGTCCCAGTCAAGGCAGGAATCTCCACACACCCCCCAAGAAGGGTTCTGTTGGCACAACCTGCCCCTGGGAAAGGGGACTGGCCCTTTCTGGTAGAAAGGGATGGACTGACAGTCCCTGGACTCCAGGGGTTGCCTCAACATCAGGGGGGTCATCTGAGGTGGGAGCAGCGGCTGAAGTTCTTCCCGCAGTCGGGGCATTCCTAGGGCTTCCCTTACCGGTGGGTCTGTTGGTGGGAGGTCAAGTGGGAGCTCTGGCTGAAGCTCTTCCCACACTCCCCACACTTGTAGGGCCTCTCCCCGGTGTGGATGCGCCGGTGGGTGATGAGGTTGCTGTTCTGGTTGAAGCCCTTCCCGCAGTCGGTGCAGCGGAAGGGCCTCTCCCCTGTGTGTGTCTGCTCATGCCTGAGGAGCTTCGAGCTGGTCTGAAACCTCTTCCCACATTCCAAGCACTTGTAGGGCCGTTCCCCAGTGTGGATGAGCTGGTGCCTGATGAGGTGGGAGTTGCATTTGAAGCCCTTCCCGCAGTACGTGCAGCAGAAGGGCGTCTCCCCTGTGTGTGTCTGCTCATGCCTGGAGGAGATTGGAGCTGGTCTGAAACCTCTTCCCACATTTCAAACACTTGTAGGGCCTCTCCCCAGTGTGGAGGAGCTGGTGCCTGCGGAGGGCGGAGCTGACATTGAAGCTCTTCCCACATTCCAAGCACCTGAAGGGCTTCTCCCTGCTGGGAGGCTGCTCAGGGACCACCAGCTCAGAGCTCCGGCTCAAGCTCCGGCCGCCTTCCCGGCACAGGACGGGTCTTTCCTCCTCAGAGCTCCCTGGGCTGGCTTTGCAGCCCCTCCTCCGGGGGCATCTCCGGGCCTTTTCCTCCCCGCTGCCTTCCTGCGCTGGGGAGCCCTTCAAAACGGCCTCTCCCACCAGGCTCTGCCGGGGGGATTTGTCCTCCGTGCTCTCCGTCCTCAGCTCGGGGCCTGGGGCAGGAAGGAAGAAGGACAGGCAGGGGATTTGCCTCCGGCCCAGAGGGAAGGCCAAGCACATCCCCCCCAAATTTGGCCCCCACAGGCACCACAAGACAGGGCCAAAGGGGCACTGACTTCCTCCTCACCTGCCTGGGGGGCCCGCAGCCTTTTCCTCTTCCTCAAATCCTCCTCCTCCATCCACCCAAGCTTTGGGAAGGACAAATCCTGCTGGGGAAGAAACAAGGGCTGAGTGCATTGGCTTGGGGGTTCCTCCTGCCCAAGTCCATCCCTAGGACTCACCGGGCATCCTGGGACCATAGAAACCTCCAAAACACCAAGATTCAGCACAGAAAAACCTAAAGCACTGATTCAGCGAGAAAACCCAAAACCACTGAGACTGAGGTAAAAAACCTCAGAAATAGATGAATCCCCTCGGAAACTTCCGAAAGTTAAGGTTCATCCAAAACATGAAGATTCATGCTAAAACAATTGTCCCAGGTGTTCCCCTCTCTGGTCTCTCCCCTCTGGGGTTTACAGGGTCTCTCCTGTCTGGGATGTCAGGGGTTCCACTTCAGGATGCTGGGAGTGTTGGGGGTCCAAAGGGTCTGTTCTCTGACTCTCGCTTTTGGGGGTGCCACCTTCCCAGATATTCCCCCAGGAAGGGGGAACTTGTCCCAAATAGCCTGGGGGGAGCACGGGGGGTCGTGACATCCTTGGGCTGCGAGCACAGATTTCCCTGCAAAGTCTGCAGGGAGTCAGTCAAGCTCTGGAGAGCAGATTGTGCCCCAGGGATGGGACTGCAGAGGGGCCCTCAGGTCCCCCAGATGAAGCAGCAACCAGCAGTAGACACAAAAAGGTCCCCCCAAAGATCTTGGGGGCAGTGTCCTGCAGGGAGGGGACAGTGTCACCCCATGAGGTGGCCGAAGAGGCTTCATGCTCTGCTCGGCCCCATCAGTGGTTGGGATCAACACCTCGTCCTCGTGGCCAGCGGCTCTTTCCTGCCCCAGCCAAGAGGTTCCCGGCCCCCCAGAGCTCCCCTGGGGCTGTCCCTGCTCTTGGCCCTGCCTTTGCTGCTCCCTTGGCTGGGGGAGCGGCTGCAGGGGGGGTGGCAGCAGCTTCAGCTCCACAGCACTTCCTGGGGGGAGCTCAGCCTGGGGGGGACGGGCAGGGACCTGATGGGGATGGACAGGGGCCCAGCAGGGACGGGCAGGGCCTGCAGGGGAAGGCACAGGGACAATCTGTGTCCCCACAGTGCCAGTGCTGGCTCTGCTCCTCCCTGCAGGCTCCGTGGCCGGGCACACTTTGTGTTCCTGGGTGCCACCAGCTCAGCAGCTGCAGCCGCTCCAATCAGCGCCCGCAGCTCTGCAGCAAAGCCCCAGCTCACCTGGCACACAGGGCATGGACACAGCACCTTCTCGCTGCTGGGCACTCCCAGCTCAGCCTCTTCCCCAGCACGGGGCTCTCCTGCCTCAGCACCACCTCTGCCTTCCACTTCTTCTCAGGGCCACCTCAGGGCCAGCTCTGGGCTCACCTCCGGGACATTGCTCAGGGACACCTGGGTGGGAGAGGAGGGGCAGCACCACAAGCAGGTGAGTCCCGAGACCCCCCTGGTGTCCCCAATGTCCTCAGGGCCTCCCCATGGCCCCAATTCCCCCCTTGACACCCCCAATTCCACTGTTCCCAAACCCCATCCCAAATGTCTCCAGCCCTCTATCACCCCCCAGAAGCCCCCTCTGGACCCTCTGACCACAGACCACGCCCCATTCCCCCTTCACACTCATAGAAAATTCAAAGACATGTGGAGACACGTTGGGGACAATTAGGGGGCTTTGGGGGGCACTGGGTGATTACTGGAGGATACTGGGACATACTGGGGGGAACCAGGGGGCACTGGGAGGGACTGGGGGGTTATTGAGGGATGCTGGGAGGGCACTGGGAAGGACTGGGTGATTACTGGGGGATTACCAGGACACACGGAGGGACACTGGGAGGTTACTGGGCCATACTGGGGGTTACTGGGTGCTCACTGGAGGATCATTGGGCCATACTGGGGGACAGTTGGAAGTCACTGGGAAACACTGGGTGGTCACTGGGGGGTTACTGGGCCATACGGAGAACCACTGGGAGGTCACTGGGCTATACTGGGGGCACTGGGGGGGCACCCCCACAAGACTTTGGGTGGCACCCCCAGGACCCCTCCCCTAAGGACTGGGAAACACCTTGAACCCCACTGATTGCCTTCTGGGGACCCCGGGATCCCCTCCCGGTGGGGTCTCTGTGTGCTGAGTTTTGGGGGTCTCTGGGGTTCGGGGGGGGCATCAGGATTCCCTTTCCCTGCAGTCGGTCCGCCCAGCCGGCAGGGGGCGCTGTGGCACGAGCGGCAATGGCGGCGCCGCGCGGAGACTTACGGGAGTTGTAGTTCGCTCATGTGGAGTCCGCCGGTGAGCCTGCGCAGTGCAGCCATGGCGTTTAAACCTCTCTCCTGAGGGGGTTCCATGGCCCCAGCCCTTTCAGGGACCCCCTAAACCCCTTCAGGCACCTTCACCCTCCCCTCTGAGCGCCCTCAGGACACCAAATCCCCTCCGCCACCCCCCGAGAGACTCTCACGGACCTCAAAACCTCCTCGGGAACCCCCGAGCCCCTCCTCTCCACTCTGCCGA